GGGGGGGGGGTGGATTCTGCCTGCTTACCTACCAACTTGCTACTCTCAAGCTGTCTTAAAACGTTAGCAAACCAGCGTAGCAGCGGAGAGGAAAGAGGAAAGAAACCGCTCCGGTAGTTAAGTCCGGAGCTCGAGGGGGGGGAATCTTACTAAGGCGAGGAAAGATATAGAACGAGCCGCGTTCTTTCGCTTTCTCCTTTGCAAGCAGGCAAAGAGCGTTTTTTTTATCTCGGGATTGCGCCCTCCCCGCCTAAGCACGTTTATTTATTGAGCTGAACTAGCGGTCTCCCCCCACCCCCCTCCACAGCCCGTGTGGTTGGATTCACACGACCCGCGAAGCTGGACAGGAGAGCGCGATAGATAGGTGGTAGGTAGGTAGGTAGGTAGGTAGATAAGGAGGGAGAGAGGGAAAGAGGGAGACGAGGGAAAAAGAGAGGGGGGGAGGGAAAGAGAGGGAGGGAAAGAGAGAGGGGGGTAAACAGAGGGGGAGAGGAAAAAGAGGTGGGGGAGGGAAAGAGAGGAGGAAAAAAGAGAAGGGGAAGGAAAGAGAGGGGGAGGGAAAAAGAGACAGAGGGAAAGAAGGGGAAGGAAAGAGGGGGAGGGAAAAAGAGGGGGAGGGAAAGAGAGAGGGGGGGAGGGAAAGAGAGAGGGAGGAGAGGAAGAGAGAGGGGGAGCTAACCCAGGCTAAGTTTATGCAACCTCTTTTGTGTAAGCTAGTTAGTTGTTTGCTAAATGTCAGTTTGGTTTGAACGCTGCTTCTTGTTAACTCAGAGGCTACTCTGCTTTCTGCAACTTGCATTTCCCCTCCTTTGTAGAGAAAGAGAGACACCCAGCTACTTCCCTGACACTTTGGTGGCACTTCCATGCATCCCTGATTCCACCCCCACCCACCCACCCTAAATTGCCTCAATGACATTGAAATGCCAGAGGACCAAAATATAGCAAAATCTGCGTTATTTATTTATTTTTCCCGGAATAGATCCCGGGTTAAAACTGGAAGCAAACTAGAGGATTTGGGCTACAGGTTGTCAGCCAGACATCACGGACCATTGAGGATGGAGCTTGGTGTTGGTTTACGTCTCGTTTTGGCACAGTGTGCGGGAAATGTGGGCATTCATCATAGAAGGTTAATGAGTCTCTTTTACATGGTTGTGTTGTCAAGCTTGATTGACGTCTGAGGACCTTCTTAAAATCGTCTGCCTGTGGGATAGGCAGGCTTGAGGAGGAGGTGGGAAGCAGGCGCAGACTTCATCTGAATTCTCCTCTCGTTTCTGGAAGCCAGATCCTAGATGCCAGGGTTCCTCAACATGGACAGAATTCTCCAGCCAGCATGCTTCTCCCATAGAGGGTTTCTCCTTTTCTGAAGAAAGGGATGCTACTGTTGTCCCCAATTCAGGTCTGAGCCTGGTGCCAAAGCCGACGATAGACGCCAGGCACAAGGTGCACAGGGTGATTGCTTTTTATTGGAGTGCTTACTCCAAGGAAAAGGGCTCCTGGTCAAAATGCCAAGAGCCAGGAACAAAAGATTGAGCAAGTTTTATACATTTTCGCTAAAGGAGAAGGTGGGTCAAAGTGAGATAATAAGAAATATCCTCTGATAAACATTTTAGTCATGATTCTACAATTTGTTCTCTTGGTCTCTAGCTGTCCCGATCCCCAAGTCTTGGCTAATGAATGCCCTAGGAATCGTCTAATTCACATTTGATTTGCTGCAGGCCTAACTTTTAGCTGAGGTCTGCAAGTTGGTTAGTTTTATCAGCTGTCCAATTAGCCAGGATTGTTACAAGATTTACACAGGCATTTGTCCTGTGGATAAGCATTCTTTGTTCTTGCAGACAGACTCCACAATTACAGGCTTCCTGATTCACTTTGAAGTGGGTGCCATGACCTAGCTTTAGTTTAGCAGATAGCCCAACAGTACGATAGTCCAATTCCTTTGGGCAGCTAATGTGGACAATGTGTGGACTTCAGCTCCCAGAATTCCCCAGCCAATATGTTTCCCCCATATAGGGTTTCTCCCAGGGGTGTGGTTCTACCAGTTCTCACCTATTCACTAGAACCAGTTGTTAACATTCTAAGCAGTTTGGAGAACCGGTTGTTAGAAGAAATTCCTGGGCTAATCCTGTAAGGAAGGCAGGAAGGAAACATTCTGGTGTTGCTTACAGAAACTGCCTCTCCGTTAACCCTTATTACATTCTTGGCAGGACTAGACTCCCTGTCTCAGGAACATCTCTGGAGTTTTTTTCCCCCTCCTTTGCTGGTGTGGAGTGACCATTCAAAGTTACAGTGGCACTGAAAAAAGTGACTTATGACCATTTTTCACACTTACGACTGTTGCAGCATCCCCACAGTCACGAGAGGCCAGGCGAGGAGATGCGTGCCTCGATGTGAGTGATATTGAGTTGGCCACCCCCATCCAATAACATGTCCACCAAGCCATGTCCACCCAATCACATGACCACCAAGCCACGCCAACCACCTAAGCCACGCCCACAGAACCGGTTGTTTAAAATGTTGAATCCCACCCCTGGTTTCTCCTTTTCTGAAGAAAAGGATGGTACGATAGTCCAATTCCTCTGATGTAATGTAATGTAACGATGTGATGTAATGGATCTAATGTGGGCAATGTATGGACTTCAGCTCCCAGAAATCCATGGGTTGACCATCTTCAACACATGGAATTCTGGGAGCTGAAGTCCATACGTCTTCAAGATCCCCAGACTGGGAACCACTGTCGTAGGCTTAGTGAGATCATAGCATCGGATGCTTCTGAACTGCATATTGTCAAAGCTTCCTCAGCCTTCGGTGAAGGCTTTTGGCTCACCTAAGAGAGAAATCTAGCTTCTCAGGTTGACCTGAAGATTGGCAGTTCACCCAGTGACTCGAATGCAAAAGTTGACCGTAAGCTGTCTTGCTTTTCTATTGCTGATGGAAGCCAATGCTGGGAACAATTTCTCTTGCTGGGATCCATTTTCCCATAGTCCTCTTTTTGGGAAAGACCCCGAAAATCTCTTTCCTCCCCTCCCCTCACCCTCAAAATCATTTCTCCAGGAACCCCGTCTGTCTTGCTCTCGTTATGTTTCTTTTTTTAAAAAAAAAAAAAAAAGATAGGAAGCACTTAATCCGTTCCAGTTGACTTCTATTTCCTGTAATCGCTGAAACGGTTTTAAATTTTCAGATATATAGTGTTATGATGGATGCAAGCTGGAGCTGCCTTGTCAAGAAAACATTTCCAGCTTGTCTGAAAGAGGGAGTTAAAGATGCCGGAAACGAAACCATAATTGTGATAAATAACAGAGGCACATTTTTTTGCGGTGGTCCTGTGATCGGATCTCATTCCCATCCCTCGCCTTACCGTATGCAGACTAGTTCCTGGAATCCTCATAGGGCTGGAAGGACCCAAAGAGGTCTTCTAGTCCAACCCCCTTGCTCAAGGCAGGAGAAGACCTCGTATACATACCTTGTGTCTCTCTTCAACAAGCTTCCGCTCATTGTTTCTTGTTTCTCTGGCTGGAGAATTCTGGGAGTTGAAGTCCACAAGTCTTAAAAGTTACTAAGGTTGGAGACCCCTGCTTTAGACAGTAGGTCAACCCCTTCTTTTCTCAAATACTGGAAGACAGCCATCATCATCATCTCCTTTTAATCACCTCATAATCCCTTGCGAGGTGGAGCCTGGGAAACTGAATGCAGTGTGTTTACTGGCTGGATGACTTTCCTGTCACCAGTGCAGAGTTCCGTTCGGCCGATAGAATCTCAGTGAGCCCAGAGATAGAAATATCTGCCTCTGCCTAGGATCGAACTCATAGCCTCCAGATTGTGAGGCGACAGCTCCACCTCTAGGCCACCGCACCACTCCGTGGAAGACAGCTATCATGTCACCCCTAATCCTTCTCTTCGGTAGGCTAGACCCGTGACGGTGAACCTATGGCATGCAGGCCGGAAGTGGCCCGCAAAACCCTTTCTGCCATCACGCGAGCCGTCACCCCAGATCAGGCGCCCTGCACATGCGTGCGTGCCTCCCGCCAGCCAGCTGATTGTCAGGTATCTGACAATTGTGCAGTATACAGGTCCTCGATGGAAGAAGGCAGGTTGGTAGCAATTGTTTTTTCTGCAGTCCTAATTACTCTTTATAAACCCTCTTTAGGTTTAATTCCTACATAGCAATCATCTTTCTTCAACTAATTTCCACCTCTCTTAATCAGACTGCTGAGTAATCTGGCAAGGCGGTGTTTGATCTCTGAGAAATGAACCGGGCTACCTGTTTTTTTCCACACTGGTTTTTCTTGTCAACCCAGTGATGGAAACCTTGCGATCGATCGTGGTTTCTTCTCACCGTTGCAAGAATGGCTGTGCATTAGGCCAGCTGAAAA